ACTTATGCATGTGCGCACTAGGTGGTACCTTGTGGGTCGTAATTACCCGAAAATACTTGCTTGGTCTAGCGACCGCATGTCCTAGTCTTTCCACTATTTGATTTCGTATTTAATTTCAAGTTGTTAATAATGGATTACTTGTAACTTGAGAATTAATTCTTGCTTTGGGTATTTAGATCTCATTTAGCATACTTGAACTTGTATCCTTGGTTGTGTATCTAAACCCTATTTAGTATACTTACGCACTGTATGTTTGATTTGTATTATCGGATTTCATTTTGTATACTTGTGTCGTGTATGCTTTTCTTGTGCGTAATTCATTTAGCTTAGTATACTTGTGCCTGTATACTTGATTCATGAGTTTTCCATATTAAAATGTATACTTGTGTAGGTATGCTTAGACATTGCATGACTTGTCTTAATATGGTTTAGTGTACTTGGAAATGTATGTTTATATGTTGTATAACATGTTTTAGCATTGTTTTGTATACTTGAACTTGTATACTTGCTCCGTGAGTTCAAATTCCATTTAGTATGTGTTAACCACTAAATGACTCTAGGGGGGGGGGGGGGGGGGTGAATAGAGTCAATGGCCAATTTTTGCAATTTATGAAACTTGTTTTACAACAACTATTATGCAATGATTAATTGATAAATTCAAGCAATATAAAGCACAAGTAAAAGAGATAGAGATAGGAAGATGCAAACAATGAACTCGATGATTTAGCGAGGTTCGGAAACTCCTACTCCTCGGCTCAAGATCCCCCTTGAGACTTCCCAAATTCACTAGAGCTTCTCCTTAATGGTGGAGAGCAAACCTTCAAATTTGAAGCAAGACCTTGCTCCTTTTCCTTGCTAGGAGAACACCCTTCTCCTAGGCTTCTTTTGGGTCACACCAACCCTTACAAGATTGTAGCAAAGTTTGTAAATGAAATACAAGAATCTCTCTCAATAGATATACAAGTGCAAGCTCACAACTAGAGAATATCAGAATATTAATGAAGCTCAAGTTCTAGAATGAGAGAAATATCGTGATGGTTGAAAGTGAAAGCTCAGAGAAGAAAATAAATGACTTATTGAATGCTCTTGAATGCTCTCTTGAATGAATTATCCAGTGGTGTATCACTTCAGTAAAATGAGCCTTCTTTATATAGACAACCGAGGCTTAATATGTCTGTTAGAAGTAGTTGGAAGTCTTAAATGCAGAAAAGTGCCGTTGAAGATTCAAATAATCTAGAAGAGCCGGCTCTACAAAAAATTGGAGGAGGCTCCAATAAATGGGAGGCGGCTCCAATAACTGGGAGGCGGCTCCAATTCACAAAATGCATTCTACGACACACAATTTGGCTACTGGAGTGCAAAGAGCAGGCTCCTATATTTGGGAGGCAGCTCCAATCCTTGTGTAAAACTAAGAATGAAACACATTTTGTTCTGTGCACTTCCTATTATGAGAGCATGCATAAGTAAAGTTCATGGAAAGATTTTAGGCCTTCTAAAAACTGATTTTTAGAGAAAATATGCATGAACCTAAAAACTTGAGCTTCAGAAGATATTCAAATATGCTTTAACATTTAAATCTAAAGCTCTCACCATCCTATCTACCCTTTTCTCCATTCCCTGACCATGATCTCTTGAGCTTGATGAAGACTTGCTTTCTTCCTTGAAATTGTTTGATTGATCTTTGAAGTTTGAGTCTTTCTTTGATTTCTTGCAATCTTTGAGGCTTCATTGAGTTCATAGCTTGAGTACTTGAATGCTTGAAATAACTCATCTAGCTCATCATATAGGATATGAACTATATATAACTCAATGAAAATATTAGTACATAAACATCATTAATGGTTTGTAATCATCAAAACCTTTAGATAAAAATCCTTAGACCAACAATCTCCCCCTTTTTGATGATGACAAAACATTGATGTGTTTATTGACAAAGTAGAGTTGTATTTGAAAGAGAGCTCCCCCTATCAATAAGCATATCTAAAGTATCATATCATGCTTGATTTCATTTAACTTTTTACAGAATTTTCTTATAAGTCTCCCCCTATCAATATGCATCAATCAAGATCTATATAAAAAGTAGAGTAGGCACATAGCATGGTAGATCCATAACAGAAAAAAAAAAACACATCTTTCTCCCCCTTTGTCATCTCAAAAAGTCTACTTGTATGAAAGAGAAAATACATGCCAATTCATGAACTATTAGAGAATGAGAATTTAAAGGGCAATAAAAATAGGAAATATGTCATTTTATAGATTACAGAAGTCAAAACAGCAGATAAGGAAAATATGAACATAACTAGCAGATGTTAGACAAAAGCATAGATCATGATAAAGACTTCAAAAGAAAAACGACATAAGTAAAAACATAGCTAAAAGAAGCTTCTTCAAAGCAGATAAAACAAGTGAGTGCACAAAAAGAGTTTTTAGACGAGGTGATATTGTTCTAAGTAGAAGGAGGAGGGGGTTCAAGGCCTTTTCGAAAGGCTTCAAAGTCTTCACTGATATGAGTGACAGTCATAAGCACTTCGTCAAGTTGTTGTTGTTGATGTTCAAGAGTGGTTTGTTGTTCTTGAAGAGTGGCTTGATTTTGACAAGAAACATTTAGAAGTTCCAATAAAAGATCATGATTTGAGCGATGTGCAACTGGAACATCCTCATCTTCAGCACTGTCATGGCTTTCATGTTCTTCCTCATCCCCATCATCAACATCCTCAATCTCTTCTCCACGAGCTCTAGCCTCTTCGAACCTTCTTTGCCTAGGATAAAACCACATACCATCGGGATCCCTTTTTAGCCCCATTGTGTCTAGATTGAAAGCATCAAGGATATCTCTTGGGCCTAGTTTGGCTGATTCACTTTTGTCAAGTGGAATGTTGTTAGCCATGAAAATGTGAGTGAGAACCATGGCATAGTGGAGTGGAGTGTTTTTCTTTTTCTTGCATGCCAACATGTGATGAAAGATAATGTAGGCCAAGTCAAAATCTTTTCCATTTAAGACACACCATATCAGAAAGATTTCCATGCGAGAGACTTTTGAGCGACTGCCGGTTTTAGGAAGAATGGAGTATGCAATAATTTTGTGGATCAATCGAGCTTCCATAGTCAATTGTTTGGATTTTACTTCTTTAATATTGGTAGTGCGGGAATCATAGCTCATTTGGCGAATGGCTGCTAGTTTGTCAAAATCTTTCCCAGTGAACCATTTTTGAGGAGAGTAGAATTGAATACCATCATCCATAAAATGAAAGATTTTGGAAATGCTTCTAACATCAAGATCGAATTCTACTCCAGCCACATAGCATTGTAACTTCTCTACACCAGGCACTTTCTCAAGGTGGGTGTAGAATAACTGAACAAGTCTTGGATAATACTTGTTTTTCATCCCAACAAATGACCCAAGGCCAATAGCATTAAAGAGATTGTATGTGTTGAGGTTGAGGTCATCACAAATAGTGTGTGACAGAACCTTTCCTTTGGCCACTTTCCTATGAAGAAATTCTTTCTCATATAGCCTCTTGTGAGTAGGAGTTCTATATAACTTTGTGGCAGAAATTTGAATTGGACGTGGAGGAGGAATTTTTTCATTTGGGATAGAGTCATGAGATTGAGTGATCCTAGTTTTGCCACGAGATGGATTCCTTCTACGGGAGGATGATGCCATGGAAACGCAGTAGGGACCTAAACAAGTCACAATTTAAAAACTAAACTTATATTAATTTGAAAAGATATGGAGGCATTTTCAAAAGACTTTGAACAACAATTTTTCATATCTAGACAATTTTGAGAACAAAATAATAAAGTAAACTATGTGGGAAAACCCAAAAAAAAATTTGTGAGCAACAATGTGATTGTCGTTGGATTTTGAAGAATGAATTTTGAAATGTAGACTTAAAAAGGAATTTTAATGGAATAAAATTAAAAAGAAATGAATTCACAAAGCAACCCCAAAAAAAATTTGCTGAAAGGATTAATTTTCTAGGGTTTGATAGAAAATTAAGTCTTGTGAAATTATGACAATTCATGTGGAATTGGTAAACTATTATGGAAATGTAAACCCAAGAGGGAAATTTAACATAATCCACAAAAAAAATGCTTAGATTCATGAAGCAAGACCAAAATTTTGGATCAAAATATGATATTCCTAGGGTTTGAACATGTAATGTAAAGGAGATTAAACCAAAATTTTGTTCAAAATTGAAAGGAATTCATGCAACAAAATTCAATTTAAGATGAGTTTAAAGCAATTCATGGAGTATTACATCAAAGCATGGATCAATACACATATATGATAGATGAAATAATGAAGAAAGGAGAACAAAAGAGGTTGAAGTTTTTACCTGAGATGAGGAAATTCTTGCACAACAATGAGAGGAGAATAAAATAGGATGCAGGATAAAGGCCACTTGATATTATATGATGGATGAAATCATTTTGAGACCTTAAAAATTGAAGCACTCATACTCATGGTGAAGGAGCTCTCACGGTTTATACTCTCTGGAAATGGTGAACCTAATGCCCAAAAAAAAAGCTACTGCCGAAGGAATTTAAGGGGATATAGCAGATTGGAGCCGGCTCATGGAAAAATTGGAGCCGGCTCAAGAGCTTTTTGGAGCCGGCTCTTGATTTTTGGAGCCGGCTCTTGATTTTTTTTGGAGCCGGCTCTTGATTTTTGGAGCCGGCTCTTGATGATTTTTGAGAGATCCCGAGAGTTTGGACATGGATGCAGGTTTTGGGGAGCCGGCTCATGAAATTTTGTGATCCGGCTCTTAGAGATACCGAGGGTTTGGACATGGATGCAGGTTTTGGGGAGCCGGCTCATGAAATTTTGTGATCCGGCTCTAGAGATACCGAGAGTTAGAAATTGTGATTTTCTTGGATGCAGGTTGGAGAGGCGGCTCTTGAATGAGATGATCCGGCTCTTGTTTTCTATAGAGGCGGCTCTTATTTAGATTAGAGCCGGCTCTGCTGCTGCTACTTCATTGCATGACATTCTGCTCTGTGATCATTCCAATTTCTCTTCTGAGTAGACAGAATCTCTCCTCTTGGAGTGGTTTTGTGAAGATGTCAGCTAATTGCTTTTCAGTGGTCACAAAAATAAGATCAATATCACCCTTAGAAACATGATCCCTAAGAAAATGGTATCTAATTTCTATATGCTTTGTTCTTGAATGCTGAATAGGATTTTTAGAGATGCATATTGCACTTGTATTATCACACATAATAGGAATGTGATCAAAATAGAGTCCAAAGTCTTCTAGTTGTTGTTTAATGTAAAGTGTTTGAGCGCAACAACTACCGGCTGCAATATACTCGGCTTCCGCCGTTGATAGAGCTATGGAATTTTGTTTCTTGCAAGACCAAGATACTAATGATTGTCCAATGAAGTGACAAGTCCCGCTAGTACTTTTTCTATCAACTTTGCATCCACCAAAGTCAGCGTCCGAGTAACCAACAAGGTCAAAAGATGTATGTCTAGGATACCAAAGTCCCAAGAATGTGGTATAGCTCAAATAGCGAAAGATTCGTTTAACGGCACATAAATGAGATTCTTTAGGACATGATTGAAAACGAGCACATAAACATACACTAAACATGATATCCGGTCTACTTGCGGTTAGATATAAGAGACTACCAATCATACCTCTGTATTTTTTAATATCTACATCAGTGCCTTTTTCATCTTTATCAAGTTTCAAAGATGAGCTCATTGGAGTATGGGCATGTTTGACTTCCTCCAAGCCAAATTTCTTTAGCAAATCTTTAACATACTTAGATTGGCAAACAAAAATGCCATCAAGTGTTTGTTTGATTTGCAATCCTAGAAAAAAAGTAAGTTCACCCATCATGCTCATTTCGAATTCATTCTGCATACTAGAAGCAAACTTTTCACATATCACACTATTGGTTGATCCAAAGATAATATCATCAACGTAAATTTGAATGACCAATAAGTTGTTATCGATGGTTTTAGTGAAAAGAGTATTATCAATTTTACCTCTAATAAAACCATTAACAAGTAGAAAACCACTTAGTCTTTCATACCAAGCTCTTGGAGCTTGTTTCAAACCATACAAGGCTTTTGATAATTTGAAAACATGGTTTGGGTAATTACAGCTTTCAAAGCCCGGTGGTTGATCAACATATACTTCTTCTTCAATGATACCATTTAAGAAAGCACTTTTTACATCCATTTGATATAACTTGAAGTTCTTATGGGATGCAAAAGCAAGGAGCATTCTTATAGCTTCAAGTCTAGCTATGGGGGCAAAGGATTCCTCATAATCAATTCCTTCTTCTTGATTATATCCTTGAGCAACAAGCCTTGCCTTGTTTCTTACTATGATTCCCGATTCATCCTTTTTGTTCCTAAATACCCATTTTGTGCCAATGATAGTTTTGTCTTTAGGCCTTGGAACCAAAAGCCAAACTTTATTTCTTTCGAATTGGTTAAGTTCTTCTTGCATGGCCAAAAGCCAAGATTCATCATTTTCGGCTTCATGAATATTTTTTTGGTTCAAGTTGGGAAACAAAAGCTACATAATTGCAAATATTACTCATTTGAGATCTAGTTCTTACACCTTTAGATGGATCACCGATAATTTGATTTATTGGATGATTAAGCACTTGCTTCCAAGCCTTAGGAGGAGTGTCTTCATGAGAGTGACTTTCTTTTGGAACATCTTTGGAGAGATCTTTATGAGAAGGACCATTTAGATCAAGATTTTCAACATTCTTTTCAATCTCAACCACATCTTCATTTTCATCCAATGAGCATCTAATAGGGGATAATGGTGATTCATCAAATACAACATGTATTGATTCCACAACCACTCGTGTTCTTTTGTTAAACACTCTAAATGCTTTGCTACGAGAGGAGTATCCTAGGAAAATACCTTCATCTGATTTAGGTTCAAATTTTCCTAAATTATCTTTGTCATTCAACACGAAGCATTTACACCCAAAGACTTTAAAGTATCCAATATTTGGTTTCCTTTTGTTCCAAAGATCATAAGGAGTCTTATTAAGGAGTTTTCTAATGATGACTCTGTTTATGACATAGCATGAGGTACTGACAGCTTCGGCCCATAGAGATCTAGGAGAATTATGTTCATTTAACATAGTCCTAGCCATTTCTTGGAGAGACCTATTTTTTCTTTCAACAACTCCGTTTTGTTGAGGAGTTCTAGGAGCCGAAAGATTATGATTGTATCCATTTTCATCACAAAATCTTTCCACATCTTGGTTGTCGAACTCTCTACCTCTATCACTTCTAATGGACTTGATCTTACATTCTTTTTCGTTTTCGACTCTCTTACAAAATTTAGTAAAGATTGTATGAACCTCATTTTTATGTGTAAGGAAAAATACCCAAGTGAATCTAGAGAAGTCATCCACAATGACAAATGCATAGAGTTTTCCACCAAGACTAGCAATTCTCTCCGGACCGAATAAGTCCATATGAATTAACTCTAGTGGTCTTGAAGTTGTTATATCCTTTTTCCTTTTAAATGATGACTTGATTTGCTTGCCTATTTGACATGCGCTACAAGTTTTATCTTTAGAAAAATTAGTCTTTGGGAGGCCTTTGACCAATTCATTCTTAGATAGTTTTGAAATCAAATCCATACTAGCATGACCTAACCTTCTATGCCACAACCAACTATCCTCATTTGAGGATACAAGACACTTGACATCTTGATCGTGTAGTTCACATAAAAGCAAAGAATATACATTACCATTTCTTAGAGCATGGAAAACTTCAACATTATCCTTTTTGACAATGCATTTGTCCGACTTAAACAAGACATCATATCCTTTATCACATAATTGGCTAATACTAAATAGGTTATGTTTTAAGCCCTTAACAAGTAATACATCATCAATAGATAGGGAGGAGGAGATACCAATAGTTCCAATGCCAATGACCTTGCCTTTTGAGTTGTCACCAAATGTGACGCTTCCTCCTTTATGAGGTTTGATGGAGTGAAATTTTGATTGATCTCCCGTCATATGCCTTGAACATCCGCTATCAAGAAACCATTTGTCCTTGGATAAATATGGAGACTTCAAGCAAACCTACAAAAGGAATTTGAGTAATCTTCTTTTGGTACCCACATTCTCTTGGGTCCATGAGAGTTAGGAAGAGGTGTATAAGTCCCTTTAATGACCCAAACTACTTTTGTCCTACATGGCCTAATAGGACAATGATTGATCTTATGTCCTATTTTTTTACAATAATTACATTGTGGACTAAAAGATGAATTTTTAACAAAGTAATTGTTCAAAGGTTCTCTCTTTTTCAATAAACAAGAGTTTTTGTTGTGAGGATCAAATCCAAGTCCATCCTTGGCATAAGCATTTCTTTGCTTTCCAAGTATGAGACCCAAATTTTCTCTACCTTTTGTGAATTTTGCTAAGGTCTCAATTTGATCTTCAATCATAATTTTTAATGATTTATTTTCAGAAATTAAATCTATTGAAATCGATTCTTTAGCTAATTCTTTTTCCTTTTTCAAAGCTTCATTTTCAAGTTGAAATTTTTCAAGGTTTTGAGAGATGATATTCTTTTCCCTTTTTAGAGTAGCACATTTTTGAACCATTTTGCCTAATTCATCATGCAATTCTCTAAAGGCATCTAGCAAGTAATTGTGTGCATCAACCAATTCATCATAAGTAGTTTCCAAATTAAATGAGTCATGATTGGAAATTACCTCATCGTCATCGGCCATGAGACAAAGATTAACCAATTCATTGAGTTCATCGTCACTTTCGGATCCATTTGAATCATCATCCTCCCATGTAGCTTGCATGGCCTTTCCTTTCTTTTTCCTTTCCTTTTCATTTTTATAGGCATAGCAATCGGATTTGAAATGCCCCGGTTTTCCACAATGGAAGCAAGTAGGTGCTTCTCTTTTTCCTTGCTCACTAGATGACCCATTTCTTTTGAAGTTGTTGCTCTTTTGGAATTTCTTCATTTGAAGGATTCTTCTTACGGTTTTGGTAATGAGAGCAACTTCTTCTTCTTCTTCATCATGAGGAGCCTTATCAATTGCAACTTCTTTGGTAGTAGCTTGTAGAGCTATATCCTTCTTTTGAGTTTCTTCATCTCTATCATTCATTTCTAGCTCGTAAGCCATTAGTGAACCAATGAGTTCGTCAATGGGAAGTGTGTTAAGATCTTTGGCTTCTTGGATGGCAGTCTTCTTTGCTTCCCAATTCTTTGGCAAAGATCTAAGGATTTTTCTTACATTGTCGGATGATGCATATTTTCTTCCAAGAGCTTTCAAAGGATTAACAATGTTAGTAAAACGAGAGTACATTTCACTAATAGTTTCTTTGTTATTCATGGTAAAAAGTTCATATTTATGGACAAGCATATTCATTTTGGATTCCTTAACATGACTAGTACCTATATAGGTAACTTCAAGTTTATCCCAAATTTCTTTAGCCGTTTCGCAATCCGAAATTCTATTGAATTCATCTTTGCTTAAGGCACAATAGAGATTTGTGATAGCCTTGACATTACATTGTATAAGCCTATGATAAGCGCCGAATATTGTATATTCAAGCGCCCTAAATTGCATTAGTTAAGTCCATCGTTTGATTATTTAAGTAGATTATCTTCATTTGTGTGTATGTATATATTTTCAGGTCCATTTGCCAAAAAAGGAGCAAAATCAAGGCTTTGTGGAGTTTTGGCCATCAAAAGGCACAATTCTGAATTTTTGGCAGCAGTGGAGTCAGGACTTTGCTCACCATTTTGACCTTGCAAACTCGAGAACTGGACTTCCATTATAAAATGGCATATTTAGAGCTCTGAATCACCTTTCCAAATCTTCAAGCAGTTCGTCATTCGGAGCTCGGACCAGAGAGTTATGGCCTTGTTACCAGAGGTGCGCAGAACTGCCTGGCAGCAATGAAATTCTTCCTTGATCTTCATTTTCGACCAATCATCCTTGAGAATTGGATCTCCACCAAAACATGAAGTTTTTAGAGCTCTGAATTAGCTTTCCAAATCTTCAAACGGTTCATCATTTGGAGTTTAGAGCACAAAGTTATGGCCGTTTTACCAAAGTAGGTCCGGGATGAGCAAACCAAGCATAGGGCATTCTGGCCAATTTTCGAGTGCTCGAGGCCTAATTTCGAGTGCTCGAAATTAGGGCAGATTGCTTCACGAGATCAGCAGTGGAGTTAGGACTTTGCTCGCCATTTTGACCCAGAAAGCTCGAGAACTGGACTTCCATCATAACATGAAAGATTTAGAGCTCTGAATTAGCTTTCTAAATCTTCAAACGGTTCATCATTCGGAGCTTGGAGCAGAGAGTTATGGCCTTGTTACCAGAGGTGCGCAGAACTGCCTGGCAGCACTGAAGTACTGCCTTTCTCCCCATTTTCGACCAACCAGACTTGAGATTTGGGTCTTTATCAAAACATGAAGTTTTTAAAGCTCTGAATCGGCTCTCCAAATCTTTAAACGGTTCGTCATTCGGAGTTCGGAACGTAAAGTTATGGCTGTTTAACCAAAGTAGGTCTGGGCGGAGCAAGTGAAGCATGGGCATTTTTACACTAAATTCGAGCGCTCGAGGCCTTGCTTAGAGTGCTCGAATTTGGGGCAGAATTGCCTTCGGGAATTCTCATTTTGGCAGCCACTTGTGCATTGGTTTCCTTATTTTCTACTTACTTCTTTATGAGGTGGTTGGGGATGTCTTTTGGTGGTAGATAAGAGGGATATGAGCCACACAATAGAGGGGGCTTCATTCTACAAGATAGAGGAGAGAGAAGAGAGCAAAAGAAGAGGTGTTCTTGAAGCTCCAAGGAGGTTGCACGAAAATGGCCATGAAGATGGAACTTCTTCCTTCTTCTAGCTTGGCAATGGGTAACTAACTCCCTTCTAGGGAGGTGATGAAACTCCTTCTTGTAAGCATGTCTTGTTTTTTATTTACATTTGGGGATGTAATGTATATATATGACCTTTCCATGAACTAGAGCTTTATTTGATGTGAAGAGCTTCAATGTCTATTAATGATCATTTTGAGTTGAAGATCTTGTCTTAAGATTGTTTCCTCTTATGATTATTTTGCTTCCATTTTCATAGTGACAATGAAGATGAGTTTATGGAAATGTTTTTATTGGCATGATGCTTGGGAAATTTGATAGTCTATAGCTTAGGGTTCTCTTTTGATAGATTATTCTTGATTCCTAATGTCATGTGCTTCTACTATGTGATTAAGGGCTTGATAACTCTATGCTTAGTGAGTATGTCTAAGGTTGTAACCTAGTTTAGGTAACCAAAACATGCAATACTTTGATAAGTTATTCTTTCCTATTGATTTCATAAAAATTCTTGAAGGTAATGTAACAATTTTATGTTGTTGCATTTCATGGTTTTATGTATATATTATTCCCCAAGTAAATCATGTATTAACATGCTTATGGATAGGTTGTGGATTCACTTCCCTAGCCCTCTCTATCTAGATCTCCTTCCTTTACATTTACTAGCATTCTTGTTTTATGCACACTTCAATTACTAGCTTAGTGACAAACCAATCAACAACTCCTTATTACACCTTATCATTCTTAAATAACTCTAGATACTTAGGTTGCCTTAAGACTAGCGCAGTCCCAGTGGTTCGACTTACCCGACCAATAGCCCTATTTTACAATGATTCGTGCTATTGCGAAGGTTGATGTATAGTTGATCAACCGATCAATTTTTGGCGCCGTTGCCGGGGACTGCAAACGGTTTAGCAACCAAAGTTTAGGGTTAATTTTAGTTTGATTGTGAATATTGTGTCTTGTGAATATTCCTTGTGTGTTTTGATCATCTTCGTGTTGTAAGATTCTAGGGACTCGGAGCTCGCCGTGGGATTGCTAGCAAATTGTAAGTCTAGAGGACCCCAGGTAAGTCTCTTGACTTCTAGTTTCGCATTGTGAATATTGTGTATGTGTTTAATTTAGTTGTGAAGCCCTTGTCGAGGCTCTTATCTTGTTTATATTTTGTGTTCAAGCATCGGTCCTTGTCGTGGCCATTTACATTTTCTGTCTTGATAATTGAGGAGAAAGGGAACATCGTATGTGGAGTTGTGGTTGATGAATTGCTTTGTTGAGTATATGCTTTGTTGTTGATGTTCGGTCGTAGGTCACTTTCCTTACCCACAATCGATTCTCCCATTGATATTAACTCTCTTGAAAGAACTCTTAGACGGAACCTTAGGGAACCCACTCTTATAAGGGACCTTGAAACTGAATTCAATATAATGGGGGATAACGTAGGAAATCCGGGGAATGAAAGGGCTGAAATTCCTAATATCGAGCCAATGACTCTTAGAGATCATTTCATCCCTACCACCTATGCATCTCCATCTTGCATAGTGATGCCAAACATCGATGCAGCTCAATATGAGATCAAATCTAGTACCATCCAAATGCTTCCATCATTTCATGGCTTTGATAATGAAGATCCATATAAGCATCTTGATGAGTTCCTTGAAATCTGTTCGACCATCCGGTTGAGAGGTTTTCCGGACAATGCACTCCATCTCCATCTTTTCCCATTCTCCCTAAAGGAGAGGGCAAAATATTGGTTAAACTCCCTCGCTCCCAACTCTATTACTTCTTGGGCTCAATTGCAACAAGAATTTCTTAAGAAGTATTATCCGGTGAGTAAAACCAACCAAATGAGGCGTTCCATTCTAAGCTTTTCTCAAATTGATGGAGAACAACTCCATGAGACTTGGGAAAGGCTACAAGATCTTCTTCGGAAATGTCCTCATCATTTGATCCCAAAATGGCAATTAGTGCAAGCTTTCTATGCCGGCTTGACCGAAACCCATAGATTCATGGTTGATTCTTCTTGTGGTGGGATGTTCATGTCCAAGAATGCGGATGAGGCTTGGACCCTACTTGAGAATTTAAGCGAAAATTCACTTCAACATAATTCTCGCAGGACTCCGGCCTCAACCAATGCAAAGAACACCAACCTTTCTCAACCAAAATCTATAAGGGAGGAATCATATCAAGTGGATGCCATAGCTCATAAATTCTACCAATTGATGGCACCACATCTTCCT